ATGTGTATAACATGTCCAGCTTCTGTCCTAATAATTAGCATGTGTATGACATTTAACCATTTACAACATGCTTTCATATATATTAACGACAAGCCCAAAGGGTAGGATAATTTACCACCATTATGCAGAAGCGCAAACTGTTGCTCAGAAAGGCCCATATCCGGTGAACAAAGATCCAATTGTACTTTTAATTTAATACACACACAGCTGAGATACTCGCCAGCTAGTCCCTCAGAACCATTGTTCTGCTCTTGGGTCATGGCCTGATACAGAAGAAGAAAGAGGAATTGAAAGAGAAAATGGAGATAAAGAGAGTTGGGAGGTTGTAGGTAATGGGTAATTGGCTCAATTTTTTTTTTTTTGGCAGGTGTATGGTGCACACAGTGTGTGTGTTCCCATATGTTCTGGTTTCATCTCTTTTACTGTGATACAGTTCCCTGGCAAAAAACGAACTTAGTCAAGAAGGGTTTATTTCAGCTTAGGGTTCTGCGTTACAGCCCATTGCTGTGGGGTGTCATATGCTCACCTGTTTGTGTTCGGTTCTATTGCCACTCTTGTATAGTTCATAACTTCCTGCCTAGGGAATGGGGCCACCCACTGTGGACCGGTTCTTTTTCACATCAGTTAACTAAATTAAGACACCCCACAGAGACTTGCCCACAAGCCAATCCCGTGTAGAAAAAACTCATTGAGCCTCTCCCCCCAGATGATCCTAAACCCTATCAACACTGTTAGAGCTGCCCGTCACAGCAGGTGTGAGCGGGTGCACATGGTCATGTGTGCCTTTGTGTGTGTGTGTGGGGAGGGTTAGTTCAAACTTGTCATTGTGTCTTCCTTGATTGCTCTCCTGACGTGAGAATTTACAAAGGTATTTATTATGGGGATTCAAAGGGTAATGCAGGCTCACAAAATACAGGACAAGGTGGAAACCGCTTTGGGTCCAGCCGCTGTGTCCCTCTGCTCTGCCTCAGGGAGATGTGAACAACCGCACAAGCTTGTTTCTATTCCGACCTCCCAAGAGAGCAAGAGAGACCCCTCCTCTTCCTAATAAAAGCTCACATCTGCATACAGAAGCCACATCCTAAGACCAGTACCCCAAAGCTACTGGTGGAAATGAATTCCCACAACACTCTCCACTGTATTCATTGAGGCAAGGTTTCTCAGCAAGTCCAGAACTTCCTGACAGGATAAACTAGCTAGCCAGCTTTCCCCGAAGACCCTGTCTCCACCTCTAGAGTGCCAGAGTTACAGCAAGCAGCCTGCTTGGCCTTTATGTACACTCTGGGATCCAAGTTCTGGTCTGTATACTTGCAGAATAAGCCCTTTATCTTCACAGCTTTGGCCTAATTATTTTGTTTCAAAGACATTTTGAACCTATCTGGACACACCAAATTATTTAATTTTGTATCACTTCTTTTAAAAAACTATTTTAAAAGTATTTTATTTTATTTTATTCTTTTTCGAGACAGGGTGTCTCTGTGTAGCCCTAGCTGTCCTGGAACTCACTCTGTAGACCAGGCTGGCCTTGAACTCACAGAGATCTGCCTGCCTCTGTCCTCCAAGTGTTAGGATTAAAGGCGAGTGCTACTATGAATCAGCCATTATTTATTTTAAAAAATTATTTCTGTGTATGAGTGTGCCCGCACATATGTATGTGCGCTACGTGTGTGCTTAGTACCTCCATAGGTAAGAAGGTATTGGGTCCTGTGGAAATGAAGCTATGGATGGCTGTGGGTCACCATGTGGGTTCTGGGAACTGAACTCGAGTACCAACTCTCTAGATTTTCATACATATTTTCTTGAGGATAGTTTATGAAGGGTAACTCTCGACATCTTTATATTTGGAGAGAAAAGGGTTGAGTTGGGAATCATTTACTGGACTCCATAAAAATGGGCTAGACAGTAATAACTGAGTGGCTAGGTACTGGGTAGCGACTGAGGCATTTTATATATTCTAGCTCCCCCAGTGCTCATAGCAATCTGGGAGTTGCCAAAGTAGCATTGTTAGAGGTAGGTGCATCACCATCTATCCCCATTTTATGGCTGAAGAAGTAGAGAGGGCTTAAGTACTTGGCACACACAGATAGTCAGTCACAAAGTTAAAACCCTACAGTTTGACTCCCCCATTAGGACTAGCCTGTAGGCAGTTCAGGATGTGAGCACACAGAGACTCCAGTCAGTGTGTGGAGTTGATGGGGGGGGCGATTTTTCTAAGTTATTTCCCTCCAAGGCCACGAGGAAGGGAAGAATTGTGCCATCTCTCACTTCTATTCAAAGGGTACTATGTCCAAGCGCTTATGCAATAACGTTATTGACCCATTATACCCCATCTGGAGTGAAAATATGGAAAATCGGGGTTGGAGAGATGGCTCAGTGGTTAAGAACATTGGCTGCACCCCCAAAGGACCCGGATTAAATTCCCAGCATCCACATCACAGCTCACAACTGTCTGTAGCTCCAGTTCCCCAGGGATCTGACACCCTCGCACAGACATACATGCAGGCAAAATACCAATGTACTAGAGTAAAAAAAAAAAAAAAAAAAAGTATGGCCGGGCGGTGGTGGCACACGCCTTAATCCCAACACTCGGGAGGCAGAGGCAGGCGAATCCTGTGAGTTTGGGGCCAGCCTGGTCTACAAGAGCTAGTTCCAGGACAGCTAGGATTCTTATACAAGAAATCACTATCTCAAAAAACAAAACAAACAAACAAAAAGTATGGAGACTCTTTATTTATTCATATTCCGGTCCCGCCCCCACACCTGTGTCATTTTGTGCCAGTCAAGTGTTCTAAAGATGTAGAGGACACCAGTGTCTGCGCCTGTGATTTTGTCAGGAATAGGAATGCACCGGCTTCAAGTCACTGTTTCCACTTGAATTTCTGGCATGGTCACACTGCAGAGGAAGGAATGCAGAACAGGACATGCGTACTAGTAGACACATTTAACAAATGCGTGAGGATTTGCCGGCTGTTGCTATGCCTGACTTGGATCCTCTCTAGCTGGGCTGCACACTTCAATATTTGTCTCCTCTTGCTGTTCCAGAGTGTGACGCAACGAACAACAAAACGATGGCATCATCGTGAGATTACCGTGAAAACACGGGATAAACGGCGGGGAAGGGTTATCCTTGGAGGGGCGGAGCCCCTTCCTCCCACCTCTACAAGTCCCTTTTATTTTCTGTTCACCTGAGTCCTCGGATTCCTAATGTCGCACCTCGGAGCACAGGAATCCAGGGTTTTGAAGTTTAGGCTCTGTTCCCTAAGAAATTGTCTAGAAACCCAGTCTTCAGCTTTTTTAAGTTTCGTCCAATGAAGAAACTGAGGGAAGGACTAGGAGGCGGGCTGGTGACGTAATGCAGATTGATTGGCACTGAAATCCTGGATGTCCTGGATTAGCCACGAGTTTCGCCAATCCAGAAGCAGGGGTGGGACGGTGCAGGCGCAGAGAATTGATTTGGCTGGCTTGGATTTAAAGCGATAGAAGCTGTTGGAGTCCTACAAGACGGTCCCCTATACCCTCTCCTCAAGTCCTTGGGACCATTTGGGTCCCCAGAACTGGGGAGATGGTTTGCGGCGGATTTGCCTGTTCCAAGAATGCGTTATGTGCTCTCAACGTGGTTTATATGGTGAGGTTTTGGAGGTGGGGAAAGCTCCGGGACGGAAAGAAGGGAAGAATTTCTAGGGTACTTCCGGTGGGAAGAGGGGTTTACTGGGGGTTCTGGGAAGCTTCCCAGAAACTTCCGGCGAAGAGGGAATTCCTGGGGACTTCTGTGGAAGAGAAGAGACTTCCGGTGATGAGGGGGTTTGTTTGGTGGTGGGGAGGGGTGGATCGAAGACTGCGGGCCTATAGTCCCAGTCTTCACTTAATGCTCCAGTTTCTTCCCAGATTAGAGATGCTGGACAACCCTAAGGTGTTGGTATCTCGAGACGCTACTGCCATTGCCCCACGATCCCAGCTATTCCCAGTTACTTGCCAAGAGCGCCCAGAAAGCACACCTCAGTTGGTTACCCTCTTTATTACAAGGGGTCGTGGACTAGCCTTTGGCTGTGCTAGAGTTCTTTGGCGATGACAGGGTCTCACTATGTAGCTAGTACAGGTTAAGCTGGAACTTTGTTGTGCTGCAGTTGCATGTATCACAGGTGTGAGCCACCACATCAGGCTGCAGTGTTCTCTACTTTCTGTTTCTTGCAGCTTGTGGGCTTATTGCTCATTGGCGTGGCTGCCTGGGGCAAGGGCCTGGGTCTGGTGTCCAGCATTCACATCATTGGCGGAGTCATTGCTGTGGGAGTCTTCCTTCTCCTGATTGCAGTGGCTGGGCTCGTGGGGGCTGTTAACCATCACCAAGTGCTGCTCTTCTTTGTATCCTGACCTGGAGTAATTGGGGTCCCTGGGTTGGCTTTTCCTAAAAGGGCAGGGGACCTCAGATGTGTCTCTTTGTTCTTATTCTGTAATTCACGGAAATTGACGTTTTTGTTCTCAGTTCGATAAAACTACGGCTTTATGGACAGAGAAGGGCCTTGAACTCTGCCCTCTCATCTGCCACATTGCAGTTACAAATTACACTGAGATTTTTAAAGACAAAAAGTGGGATTGTGCTACATAGCCCTGCTAGCCTGGAACCTACACCAGGCTGGCGGCCTTCACACTGAGATATTTTCAATGGAAACCAGATCTTTTTTGCCATAACTTCCTCTCAGTACATGATCATCCTTGGCTTGGTCTTCATCTTCCAGTTTGGAATCTCTTGCTCATGTCTGGCTATTAACCGCAGCAAACAGGTAAGGTAATGCCTTCTCAAATGTGTGCTTTCCCCACCTTTAAAGCAGTTAATCTGACCCTTTCATACCTTCATCCTCTGACATGTATGGCTATTTCCCCAAGATGTAGAATCTGAGAAAGACACTTGACATTGTCTGTGATCATGACATGCGTCCTGTTTCTGTGGGAGTCTGTGTGCTGATTGCCCTTGCTAGAGCAATTGGAGCACTTGGAGTGCAGGGGTAGGGAGATTGATGTTCCTCTGCCTATATGCTCTAGACAGATGTCATCAATGCGTCTTGGTGGGTCATGAGCAACAGTACCCGGCATGAACTGGAGAGAAGCTTTGACTGCTGTGGTTTGTTCAACCTTACAGCTCCGTACCCACAAGACGATACCGCCTGCAGTGCCGTAAGTTGAAGGATGGGGGCACAGCTAGGAAGAAGTGGGCAAGGGGCATAGGTGGCCTCAGGGTGAGGTGTTGGTCTTTACTGAGTGATGCTAAAGAAATAGAGGCCGCAAGGATTTAGCCCAGTGGGACTCCAGGCTGGGAATGACACTCATTGTAGCTACTTTTGTCTGTCCTCAGATGTGCAAGACCAGGAGTTCTGTGTGCCAGATGTGTGGGGAGAAATTCCTTAAACACTCAGACAAAGCCCTGAAAATCCTAGGTGGTGTTGGGCTCTTCTTTAGCTTCACAGAGGTAATGATTCCCATTTCCTTCATGTAGACACCTATAAGCCTTAAAACCCAAGATTCAAAAATAATTTGCTTTCTCTCTCCCTTTCTGTAGATCCTTGGTGTTTGGCTGGCAATGAGATTCCGGAATCAAAAGGACCCCCGAGCCAACCCCAGTGCCTTTCTATAGACTTGGTCTTCCAGATAGGATCTTTGAAGCCTAGGCTGGCTTCCAACTTTCTATGTAGCCAAGGATGACCTTGGGTTCTGGATCCCCTGCCACAGCCCCCAGGTGGTAGGATCACAGGTGTCACCACACTCAGCAGCCTCTGGATCCTCCTGACTTGGTTTTGCGCTCTCCCAGCTTTTTAGACCACCCCCCCCCCACCTAAATTTTCGAAAACCTAGGGTGGGGACTGCCATCTGGTTTTTAAGGTCCCTTGCCTCATTCCCTAAAAACCCATCAAGTGATAGACAATTTTGTCTTTACATATTTTGATGGGAACAGGATATAGGGACCTCTCCCCAGAGAATACAGTATACTTCTAGAAGCATGGGTGGGGGCTGCATGCCCTTGATAACTGTTTTCCCTCCTTTCGACTCCTTAGGTTGGCTCCAAGGACAAATCAGAAAGTACCAGGGGGAAACAACTTTCTTGAGGGGTGGGGGTGCTGGGGCTTTAGCCCAGGGCCTCACACACGCTAGGCAAGTGTTTCCACCACTGAACTACAGTCCCAGCCCCACCCAGAAGTCTTGCCAAGGCAGGACCCAGAATGAAGCAGTGAACTCAAAACTAAAGCCATTTTAACTGAGTATTCAGAGAAAGGAATTGATTCTTTCCAACCTTGTCAGCCAAAGAGCTGGGCTGCTCATCTGGGTCCTGTGTAACTGTCTACAGATGTTACAGAGAACCTTCTTCCCATGGGGCCCTCAAATCTCCCAAAGGCAAAGCCAATCAGAAAAACATTAAAGAAAAAAAAAGACCGTATTTCCATATTTCTTTGTCTCGTTTTGCTGTATAAAAAAGATCCCAATATAAATCAGGGAGGGGAGAAGACAGATACACCCACCCTTTAGTGTAGAGAATGGGAGGGCAAGAGGGTAAACTTCCTAAGGAGAAGTGGGGAAGGGAATGTCATTTAAGGCTTAAAATATTCTCTGTAAAAAACTGGAGGAGTCTCCACAGCCCTAGAGGAAGGCAGAGGTTGAGTCTCGTGCTCAGGTGTCCAGAGATGAGGAAAGGCAGCCAGCCACTCTTCTCACTCTGGGTCACTTTCTTCCTTGTGCAGGTAAGAGTGCTGCAGGGCCCGGAAGGCAGAGATCCGCTTATGTGGGTTAAAAGTCAGCATCTCCTAAGGGGAGAGGCAAAGGTCAGAAAGCGGAAGAGGGGGTGCCCACCCTAGAGAAGCTGCAAGGGGTTTCCTTCTCCCTACTCTGCCGCCCACTCACAGCAGCAACAAAAAACACAGCCTGTCCATTAACCAGACCTGGGTTCCATGCTGGTCTTTGTGTGTGCGTGTTCATGTGTGAAAGAGTATGGGTGTGGGCATGTCAGGATAGTCTGGGGTGTCAGTCCTTCCCTTCCATGGTGCTTCAGACGTTCTTGTCAGTGCTGTATTCACCAGGCTATCTGGCCCGTGAGCTTCCAGGGAATTCTGCCCCCCTCCCATCTTGCTGTAGTGACAACTATAGAAGCTAGCTGCCACACATAGCTTCTACATGGGTTCTGGGGATTCGAACTCAGGTCCACACTTATGCCCTAAGAGTTTCATCGGCAGAGCCACCTCCCCAGCCCAGGCCCTGTACCAGCAGCAGCTGTGCTCCGGATTCCTCCATCTCCGGCACCACCGACTGCACTGGCCGAGGCCCTCTCGGGGAAAAGGCTCCTCGGGGCAGAGAGACCTCGCGAGGCCAGTCCTCTTCTGGAGGCAATCCAATGAGACTGTAGGGACAGGACAACCTGCTCAGGGGGCCTTTCCGCTTCTCATCTCCAGGGCGAGAGCCAGTTGCCCACCGGAGCTGAGCAGAAGTGGAACTCAGAAAGGGAATTTCCTTCCTCCTGACTGGATACTTACTCAAAGATTTTGCCCAACTGGTCGGCTTCCGAGTTTCCACAGAAGAGAGGCCTAAGGTAGAAAAATATCCCAAGTGTTTATTATTTGAAGAATAGGAGTGTGCCAACCATGAAGGCTCAGATAAGAGAGGATGAAGGGGTGTGACGGTCCCAACTCCAAGGCATTTCAGGAGATTCACCTGCATCATTTCCAGTTTTAGGCAAGGCTTCCAACACCAACAGGGGAGGTTGGGACGATAGCTGGGTGGCAGGGCACGCACCTAACACATGCCAGAGCCTAGGTTGGGGGTCCAGCACCATATGTACAAGAACGGTCAAGAACAGACACGTCTTGTAAAAAGACGCGGGTGGGGACTGTGGTTTGGTGCAATAGAGCATTTGCCCCGTGTACGTCCGGTTCTGATTTCAGCCTCCAACACCATAAATAATAATGGGCTCATAGAACTGGTGGCTTAAGAGTTCCAAGTCCTGAGCCAGGCAGATCTGAGTTCAAGGCTAGCCTGGTCTACAGAGGGAGTCTACAGGACAGCCAAGGCTACAGAGAGAAACCCTGTCTCAATAACAAGAGTTTCTAGTCCCATACTTTCGACGGAACATCTCCGCAAAGATACAGCCAACGCTCCACATGTCCACAGGCGTGGCGTAGGTGGACTGCAGGAGGACCTCAGGGGCGCGGTACCAGAGTGTGACAACCTGAACAGAAGAGAAGACACCAGTGAAGGCCTGTCTCGTGAATCCTAGCTGCCTGGCTTGGGAAGCATCAAGTCTAGGATGGTCTCAGTCACTATGGGCCATCATGTCCTACCCACCATCCCATTGCATTTGGGTGGCCATCTTTCTACTGACCACAGGGGTGAGGGCCATCTGGTAGCTGTAGATTCGGGCTAAGCCAAAGTCAGCCAGCTTGACGGTCCCATTGCTTGTCACCAGGATGTTCTCCGGTTTCAGGTCTCGATGAACAATGCAATTTGCATGAAGAAAATCTAGGCCGCTTAGAAACTGCCGCATCAGATCCTGGTTTTGAAGGAGAAAGCACAGACCACTGAAAACTATGGAACATGGCCAAAAATCCCAACAAGTTCTACTGCAAAGATCCCAATCCACTTCTCAGAGTTCACCCCACTCACCTTGATGGTCTCAACTGGCAAGCCTGGTGGTGGGGCTTTGTCCAGGTATGTCCTTAGGTCCTGGTCTATGTGCTCAAATACTAGGGTAACCTTGATGTCTCGGTCAGTTCGGGAAGTAGCACAGACATCCATTAGCCTGACAAAAATAGTCACCAGTGGGTCACTCTCCTTTGATCCAACGCGGCCCTCAGATTTTTACGGTCCCATTCCTGACCACACACCCGAATTACAGACACTATTCTTTCCTCCCCATTCCCAATCCAACCTTCTCACCGTACAACATTGGGATGTTCAAAGGCCTCCAGCCTCCTCAGTAAGGCCACCTCACGAACTGTGCTGATGGGAAGGCCCCCTCCAGCTCCTCCTCCGTTAGGAACTCTCACACTCTTGAGGGCCACAAAGTGGCCACTGTGGGGATCCCGGGCCTTGTACACCGTCCCATAGGCGCCGACACCGATTTCAGCCACTGGTTCATACCGAGAGGTTGCCATTCTCGGAGCAGGGGATCTCCTACAATCACAGAGGCTTCAAATACCAAACTCTCTTTCACAGCTAGGAGGGGGGGATGTCCCAGCAGTAACAAAGGAATTCCTGCCCGCGACCGCACCAACTCAGCAGCCCTGCCCCTCCACACTTCCAGAGCCCGCGCCTCAGGTAACACAAAAGGCTCTACCAGCAAGCCCTCCAGCCACGTGATGTCCTGGAGAAAAAAGAAGAATGCTTTTCTCTCGGAGGACACCGTACTGGGCACAAAGAAGATCCACACAGTGCACAGGGCGGGCATCGAAGATTCCACACCTCATTCTCTAAAATCACACCCTCGCCCGCGACCACAAAGGCCCCACTTCCCGCCCTTGGGCCACCCTTCCATAAGCAGCCAGCGACACGCACCCAAGGGGAGCGAGGCGGTGGTGGCGGGGACTGGCACCCCATCCCTGGAAGGGACTGCACTCACCTTACGCTCGGCCGAGAGCTGGGGAGGTGGCCCTTTATCTGGGCCCGGGAGCCGGTTCCTGCGGCGCCATACACCGGGGATCGGTCCCGGGCAGCTGGACGCTACGGGCCAGACCATAGACACAGGCCGCAAGCTAGAGAGGCCCCCTCACCCCCACCCTCACCATGTGACCAGCTGCCAGAGAGGCGCGCGGAAACTGGGGGGGCGGGGCGAACGCCGGACGTTCGGGGCACGTGACCTCCATCCGTCCTGCGCACTGGGTGACCGGGGCGGCCTTGATGGGAGGGGTGTGGTGGAGAAAGGGGGCGGGGACCGGGACGACCACGTGACCTGTTGCTATCCCACGTGACCCTTGCCTTTGCTCTGAGAAGTAGAGGTGTGGTTACACTGTGTGGCACGTGACTGGCTGCCGTTCCCTGACTGCCGGGGGGGGGGGGGGGGGGGGTGTGTGGGGGCGAGAGAGGGTGGAGCACCAGGCGGTGCCATGGCAACCGGGCCAACCAGCGCTCAACACTCGGCTCAAGGCCGAGCCTGAGCGCATCTTTAGTCCCACTACACGTCTGTACGTGGGCGGGAGGTCGGGGTGCTAGTGGGAGATCCTGGTACCAGAGATGGTGCTGTCACATTTCCACTCCACCGCCATAGGGAAACATTCGTATTTGTGTCTTTGTTTTACTCATTCATTCAACAAAATTTTACTAAGTGCTTCCTTTCACTTGGTATGCAATGTTTTTGTTTTGGTGTTTCAGTCATTCGCCCTTTAAAGTAACGATAAGGACAGCTAATGTAGGCGAGTGTGGTCTTATGAAACGGGGAGGAGACACTTTCTATCTGAGGGAAAACTAGAATTAAAAGATGGACGGAAGAAAAGATTAATATAGTTAGCCACTGTATGGGAAGAATGCCTCCCCTTTTCCAACTTGTAAACCTCCCTGGGAATATTCAAAGCAGCAAGGAGTTATTGGAAATAAGGACACTTGCTCTTTAAAGGCTCTTAATACTAAGGTTCTGTATTCTGTTACATATGTATGTGATTGCACATATGAACAGACAACAGCATGCACAAACACGGTCACCAGCGTCACTGCAGACCACCACATTGCCTGAGAATCTCGTGTCTCTGCAAACCTGGGACTCTTCATTGGTGTCACGTTCCTTTTAGTTTTCAGGGCAGCCTTCTTAGTGCTACTCTTGCCTAAATGGCATTTCTTAAGTGGTGTCTGCCCACAGAAATCTAGGTAGACAGGTATATTTAACTTTCGTTGTCTTATGGGCTCCAACTCCCTTATTGTTTCCCATCATTAAGGTATATGGGAATAAAGAACCATGTACTCATTTGTGGGAAACAACCTAAAATCTCGAGCTAATTTAAAATTGTTTTTTAGCCAGGCAATGGTGGTGCATGTCTTTAATCCCAGAACTCCAAACACAGAAGGAGGTGGATCTCTGTGAGTTTGAGGCCAGCCTGGTCTACAGAGAGAGTTCCAGGACAGCCCGGGGCTACACCGAGAAACCCTGCCTCAAAATAAATAAATAAACAAATAAAATTGGTTTTTAGTGCTAGGAATTGGAGTCAGTGTTTTTAATTTTTTAATGTGGTAAGCATGTGTTCAGTCACTGTGCTATACCCCGAAACCCTAAACTGAAATCATATTTGAGACGTATAGCCGAGGCTGACCTTAAATCCACAGCAATTGTTGTGCCTTAGCCTCCTAAATGCTGTTTTTACAGACGTGAGCAGCGACTATGGCTCTGCTTTATTTATTTATTTACTTATTGTGGAATTTTGTTTTAATGAGATAAGGTCAACTCAGGTTGACCTTGAAACAGACAGGAAGCTAGGCTAGTCTCAAATGTTTGATTGCTTGGTCCTACTGCTCCATCTCCCCAGTAGAAGGTTATTGGCATGCACTACGATCAATTTTGTTGCTTTCTTTCTGTCTTGTCTTTTCTTCTTTTTCTTTTTTTTTTCTTGACAAGAGTCTTTTCCTTGTAGCCCAGGCTGGCTCTGAAATCCAAGTGCTTGAATTCCAGACCTGAGCCACAACTAACCTGAAATCATTTTAGCATCTGGTTTGCCATTCTAACTTTTATCCTTACTTTCCTGGTTGAGAATGTAACAGTGGTGGGTCGTGGTGGGACATGGTGGGGCATAGTGGCACACATCTTTAATCCCAGGAGAAGACTGGGAGGTAGAGGCAGAGGCAAGTGGATAGCCAGCCTGATCTAGTTAGTGAGTTCCAGGTTAGCCAGACCACACAAGCAAACCTTGTCTGAGAGGGGAGTGGGGAGTAGATACACACACACACACACACACACACACACACACACACACACACACACGCATCAATGTAACAGCATTGGCTCAATATTAATGTAACTCATAATCGAGGATAATCGAGGACAAAATGGAAGGCACATCGGGCAGATTTCCTCTCCTGTGGCTGATGCTTCTTGCGCCAAGAAGAATGTAAGAAAAAGATCAGGGCTAAGGGGCTGGAGAGGTGGGTGTTTCATTGGCTACATTCCTAGGGCTGTTTGGGGTTTTTAGCTTTCTGAAAGGCTACGTGTCTGTGAGCTTATTAAACTCCTAACACAGTTTTGGTTTTCCTGAGACAGGGTCTCACTGTGTAGCCCTGGTTGTCCTGGAAATTGGTAGACCAGGTTGGCCTCCAACTGACAGAGAGCGCCTGCCTCTGACTTCTGAATGCTGGAATTAAAGACCATCACTGACCGACTTTATTTACTTTTGTTGGTTGGTTGGTTTGGTTTTCCCAGTACAGGTATTACCTGCTTCATCTTGCCGCTCATACGAGCACACTGCAGCTTACTGTGCTTACAGGAAAAACTGTCTTCTTTGTCTTTAACTCACAGACTTTCCCTCTGCTTCATTCATTGGTCCACCCAAAGCACTTGGATGTTTTGCACAAACATGACTGTCTTCGCTACCACTTTCCATTGAGGAGTCTTAACGTGGCAATCTGTCCCTGGTTCTACTTGCTCATTCCCTCCTTTCTCTGTTAATTACTCTTTTACTAATTAATTTTCTTCTGTGTCTTTGACCCAGTGGGTTCCCGGGGAATCCTTTTTCCTTCAGCTTCACAAAGAGGCTGAGAGGGAAGGTGTAAACATAAAGCCGGGAGAAAAAAATGATAGGCTGGTAGTAGCTCTAGGGGTCAACTTGAAACAAAGATTTGCGCGTGTATGTGTGGTACTCACTCTAGAGTAGTGGAGCTGAGGGCAGGGGGGCATCAAGCAAGACACGCCCATCCGTTTGGCATTCCTTTTTCTGCTCACTCACCACCTTCACACATTAGAATCAATCGCTCGTGTCTCACACACTCTGATTCCATTCCTGCACATCACCATATTACGGTCCCGTACCCGGCACCCTCTACCATCTTTTGTGTGCTACTAGGGGCCATCTCCTGCCCACTCAACGCCCGCACACCTCTAACCCCTTGCGGAGCTCTTTCTCTGCACACTCCCATTGTGCACACACCTCTGGGCCTCGCTACACCTGCAGCCTCCGACTACTCACCTTCCATCCTCACGCCCACCCGCGCGCGCACACACCTATTCTTCTACCAGGGTACACACTCCCCTTCCTTAGCCACTCCCCTCCTTCCTTGTCTCGCACACTCGCCCCGCCCCTGGGGACACCTGCTCGTGCTGGGCAGGGCGGGGATGCGCAGCCGCGGCCCCTTCTCCTCCGCTCCCCCTCCCCGCCCCACCCCTCCCTCCATCCCTC